CCACAGTGCATTGTTGTTTCTGCCTTAAACAGTCAGTTATCTTTTTATAGAGATTTTTTTTTTAATTAAAAAAAAAAGAATTTTGTATTTACCCACATATTTACTATTTCTGATGCTCTTTCTTTCTGTAGATCCAAATTTCAATCTGGTTATTTTCCTTCCTCTTGAAGGATTTCTTTTTAATATTTCTTATAGTTCAGGTCTGCTGGTAATGAATTTTTTCAGCTTTGGTATATCAGAAAAAGGTTTTGTTTCATCTTTATTTTTAAATAGTTTTCTCTCTATGTATAGAATTTCCAGCTGACCATTTTTTTCTTTAAAGATGTTGCTTTACTGTCTTTTGGCTTGTGTTGTTTCTAACAAGAAGTTAGCTGTCATTCTCAGTTTTGTTCCTCTATGTGCAATATGTCTTTCCCTGACTGTTTTAATATTTTCTCTTTATCACTGATTTTAAGCAATTTGATTATGATGTGCTCTAGTGTAGTTTTCTTCCTGTTTCTCGGTCTTTGGATTCATTGAACTTCTTGGATTTGTGGGTTTATAGTTTTCATCAAATTTGGCTAATTTTTGGCCATTATTTCTTCAAATATTTTTTCTGTCCATGTTCCTTTCTCTCCTGGAGGTCCAAGTACATCTATATAGTAGATTGCTTAAAATTGTCCCACAGTTCACTAATACTCTGTTCATTTTTCTTCCAGCCTTTTTCCTCTTTGTGTCTTATTTTGGATAGTGCTTGTTGCTATGTTCTTAAATTAATCTTTTTTCTGTTTTGTCAATTCTGTTAATCCCATTCATATATATATAATATATATATANTATATATATATATATATATATATTTTTTTTTTTTATCTCAGACACTCTATTTTTCATCTCTAGAAGTTTGAATTGATTCTCTTTTTCACATGCCCGTGCTTTCTTCCACCTTTTTGTAAGATATGGAATATATTTATATTAGTTCTTATCTACTAAGAACTGTTACTGTGTCATTTCTAGGTCTGTTTCTTACTGATTTGTTTTTTTCTGTATTATAGGTGGTCTTTTCCTGCTTCTTTGTATGCCTAGTATTTTTTTGATTGGATACCAGTTATTGTAAATTTTACATTGTTGAGTGCTAGGGATTTTTGTATTCCTTTAGGTTTTAAGTTTTGTTCTGGGATACAGTTAAGTGACTTGGAAACAGTTTGACCCTTCAGGTCCTGCTTTTTAAGTTTTGTTAGGTGAAACAAGAGCAGTAGTCTGGACTAATTTTGCCCTTCTATTGAGTCAGTATCCTTAAGTATTCTAGTCAATGGCCTATTAAGTATGAGGTGTTTCTTCACTCTGACTATTGAAATGTAAACTATTCCCAGCCAGGACTGAGCTCCAAGAATTGTTCTGCCTGCCCCTTTCTGGTAGTTCAAGTAGTTTCCTCGCTGCAATACTATATAATGTAATTCTGATGCTAACTACACAGACTTAGCACAGATTCCACAGGTTAAGGTCACAGTCCCCAACAAGAACTGTCTGAACTGTCCTCAGTTCAGTTCAGACACCAGTTGCAGGTTCAGGGTTCCCCAGGTCACCTGCATTTCTGACAAACTGGCTACAAACTTGAGGTTCCCATTGCTNGGAGCCCACAATGAGTCACTTCCCTAGCATAAATTCAGGCATGATCCCAGGGACTCATCATGAATAATAAAGACATTCCTATCACTTGGGAAATTCTAAGGGCTTAAAAGGTCCCTCCTGGGAACCTGGGACAAAGGACAGTCTGATTGTTTATCATGTAACACTCAAACACCTGCACTGTTTGGTTTTCAATTGAAGATTCTAGGGAAACCCCCTGTAGATCTTTGTGACTCCCGTCTTTGTAGCTTGCTCCTCTCTGATACTCTGCCCTGTAAATTCTAGCTGCCTTGGCTTTCTCAAATTCTCAACATTTTCTTCTCAACCCCAGGCGACTACTGGACTCTATTTGCCTTCTCCTTTCCTGCACTTTGGACTCATTTGCCTTCTCCTTTCCTGCACTGTGGCCTCAAAACTCTCCTCAGGCATGGGTTGCCTGTTGTCCAGTGTCTGAAAACCATTGTTTTATATGTTTTATTAAGTGTTGCAGTTATTAAGATGAGAAAGTAAATTTAATCCATATTACTTCGTCATGACTGGCAGCAGAATTCTGTTCTTTGTATTTGGAAAGTTGTTTTTTATAGATGGTTAGAATGGCATATAATACTCTTAGCTAAATCGTCCAAGAAAAGTCNAATTCTAGCTGCCTTGGCTTTCTCAAATTCTCAACATTTTCTTCTCAACCCCAGGCGACTACTGGACTCTATTTGCCTTCTCCTTTCCTGCACTGTGGCCTCAAAACTCTCCTCAGGCATGGATTGCCTGTTGTTCAGTGTCTGAAAACCATTGTTTTATATGTTTTATTAAGTGTTGCAGTTATTAAGATAAGAGAGTAAATTTAATCCATATTACTTCGTCATGACTGGCAGCAGAATTCTGTTCTTTGTATTTGGAAAGTTTTTTATAGATGGTTAGAATGGCATATAATACTCTTAGCTAAATCGTCCAAGAAAAGTCGTGTGTCATCATTTTCTCTGCATAAATTATCCTCTAAAAATCATTTCTATGAATTTCCTAAGGTATTTTTTGATAACTACCAGAACATTGTCAAACTCCTAGTTAAATAGATGTAAATTTTGTTTAAAGCAATCTCAGCAGCATTCTCAGATTTGTCCTCCCTATAAAATGCCCCATACTATGAAATTATTCCTTCCTACTTCTCAGGCAAAACCCTATTTCTATAAATAGTTAATCATATTGACAAAATATAATTCACATTTGTAGTGACACATAGTTGTTTCTACTAAATAAAGGATTTTGTACTTTTAAAAATGAATTGGTCAACACAAATGACCTCATTTGCTGAAATCTCTACACTGCGGCTTTGCCTTTTGAAAGGATTCATGATAGCCCTGGACATTCATTACTCACTGGTCAGCATCTCTTTTATTTTCAGAAGCTTCTTTGACCCAGACTCGGGTAACTAGTAGGATTTCCCATAAATTATAAGCTATAAACAGTTTAGTCTATAAACTTATCCACTCTCAATTAGATCATTTCATATTTTAAGTTTGCTTGCTTTGTAAAAATGAAATTCTTATCTTAGGGTTTGTCTTTAAAGTAAAAATGT